TAGTGGGATTGACCATCACATTATAAAATAAAGGCAGTACAGAGAAAAAATATATTTGAAAAAATGAAAAGCAAAACTTTGAAAATAATAAACAATCAAAAAAACCAGAAGCAAAAAAACATTTAATGGACTGTTTCACTTAGAATCTATAAAAATGCATAAAACAGACCTCAGGCTGTTTCATACACACAGCCACACATAATTTATCACACTGTATGTTTGGACAAGGTGGCTTTCAAACCGCAATTTGTGCAAGTTAATTACTACAAAACAAAGCTGAAAACCAAACACTTATCTACTTTTAATATTGACAGAGCATCTTTTCCTACAAAATATGTTTTTGTCACAGAGACAGAATACCTGTTTTGTATAGAACAAATATATAAATATATAGAAAAGGAAAATTGGGTCCTGTACTATTTTCTGCATAAAGGAATTCCTTAAGAAAGACCGGTTCTGCAAAAATACTTGGCTGTTCGTATTAAAATTACTTTGAAATAAAAAGAACATTTCAGTGAAATATGAAGTTAGCTTTTTATTGTCATAGTTTTTAAACATAAATACATAGCTTTATAATTTATGTACATTTCTTTTTTTAATATTCTTATCAATCCTAATAAAACCATTACAAATATTATATTATATAACTAAATTTTGAATATGGACACTATTTTGTTTCAAGGTTTTGCATATCCTATATGTATCAAAATATTAACAGTAGGGCTCCTCAAATGATGATTAGCCATATTCTAATCATCACTAATTTTAGTTTTTTTATGGTATAATTCATGACATTATGTACTTCTGGTCAGTGTGTTATCTGGTATTGACTTCATTAATTAACAGGTTATGTTTTAGTTCTGATCTATACAGTCAATTAAGTTATGATCATATGTTATTAACAATAACAGCTTTCATTCAAATTAACTACACTCTTACCATATAAAAGCATGGCAACTTGCTTGTCAATTATATCAGGATTTGTATTAAACAGTTTTTCTGCCACCAATGTGCAGCATGATCCAACCATTTCAATTGTTGTGTCACATCTAAACGAGACAAAAATAAAACCTTTTATTTTTCAAATGTATTAGCAACAAAAATAAGAACCATAAATATATAATTGTATGATAATGAATCACACTGTTTAAATCTAAAAGTAAAGAACTGCACTTGGCTAACTAGTAAATATTAAGGAATATTAACAGGATGGCTACTTTTTAATTTATATATATATTTGTAATAAACAGTTTGAAATAACATTTTAAAGAAACAACTACTAGCCAGCTAGTACCAGTTCACTTTCTAACTAGATGACTTTGATACACCCTACACAATACTAGATGAATCATATAAAAGGAAATAATAAGTAATAAAAAAGTACAAAAGCAGTTAATCCACAAAAAAAAAGAAAGAAAGAGTATATTACAAAGAAATGTGAGCCTGAAAACAATTAAACTAACTTCTCAGAAAATTATATCAAAAAATATTTTGAAAACCAATTTTACAAAACAATTTGCTGGTATTACAAATGTATATAATCCTCACAATGCATGCACTGATCCTAAAATTTCTTAATTTTAGTTTGGTTTGTTATGAATTTTCCACAAAACTACACGAGAGCTATCTGTTCCTAATTTAGTAGTGATAGACTAAAGCAGGCCTAAAAAAATCCTGGGCACCAGGTTGCCATGGCAATTAAAAAATTTCATCGTGACACCTAGTATTTTCTTCCATTTTATTCATGCGTAAGGCTGTGCTAAATAGAACTTGAATCTTGAACAGTTTTGGAACTATTTTCATGTTCTTTGAGTCCTAAATCGAACTTTGTTTCTAGGATTTTAATGGCAGATTCAACACTTCATCTTTTTTCAGGAATGAAGTGCTGTAGTTGCACATGTTTCTAATTTCACACCATTTTGTTTTTCTTCTTTCTCTCAATTCAACCAATCAGTGTGTGTGTGTTTAGATTTGGACAGGACCAAAAGCAGATAGTTTAGGCAGTACTATCAAGTAGTTATTAATATCTTAGGGTTATTAGCATGCACTGGTGCCTCGAATTAATATTACATTATAATCAGAGGTGTACTGTTCGAATACTTGGTAATATAGTGTGCATGAGTGTACGTATATACGCAATAGAAGCTTAACATGGTCAGAAACAGTTAACACTTATACAATATCTTCAGAAGCTCCAACAAAGGTCATTCTGGTATTTAATTAACAATCTATGTCAGTCAGAAATCAAATAGGTGATATGTAACATTTCAAATATTAAAGAATAGACATGTTTGCATGCTTGATATATATTCTACTGCTTGTGGACAAATATTTGGCACTTACACGAAAAACTGCTACACACATTCAGAAAAATTACAAAATCCTAATTTGCAAATTGATCAATAAAAATTGATAGAAAAACATACAACAGAATAATGAATACAAATGGCATACATGTTTGTGATACATCAAACATAAACTACAAAATACATAGTATGGATTTGAAAAACAAATATATATATATAAAAGAAGGTTAGTAGAAAATTACAATGTATCAATGATCCTCTTGTACGAATTACCTTCATAGGTTATAACACTGCTAGAATGATCATCACAAGCACAATGGAAGTTCATGCATTAAGAATGAACTTAAACATTAAATTTATCATCCAGGTGAAGACTTTTCCTAAAGCTAGTCGCTCAAACAAATACTCCACAGCTTTTCAATGATGCTACACACATATACATCTTACAATGAATTTTGTTATATTCTCTGGTATTCAAGTGCAGTTCTGGTTACTGTACACAAGCACAATGGAAGTTCATGTATTAAGAATGAACTTAAACATTAAATTTATCATTCAGGTGAAGACTTTTCCTAAAGCTAGTCGCTCAAACAAATACTCCACAGCTTTTCAATGATATACATCTTACAATGAATTTTGTTATATTCTCTGGTATTCAAGTGCAGTTCTGGTTACTGTACACGTAACAATCTGTTTTACTTAATGCCATCTCAAGCACATTTTAACCCTTTCTGGACTGGTTATGTGTCACTGAAACCCACTGATTTTCTCCTTCTCATTGTGGAAATACTAAAATGCATAATACTTAGAAAGAATTCATTAATTCTATCTAGTTTTAGCTTAAAAATTAATATAATTTCTTTTAGTTTTTCTAAAATTTATAATATTGTGAAATTTCCAAAATTGTGTCTGACACTGTTTTGAAAAATTACTAGAAAGGTTTTCTTTTGTCTCAAAATTTAAATTTTATTTTATTATTGATCAGAAAGTTCCATTTTATATGTCGAATAAATATAAACCTGATTGATTTTTATTGACTATAAACCATAAAAAAACTCTGGAAAAGCTGAGAGAGAAAGATTTATTGGTGAGATGATGACCTATGACCTAACTTAGCAATATTTTTGCTAACAATATTCTTGGTAGAAATTGATTGATATCTAATAAATATAAAATAACTTTTATTAATGTGTTGTTTGAATACAATAAACTTAACAGTCATATTAAATATATATGGATTTTAGTCATAGAAATATTTTGCTGTTACCTACCACATTAGCAAAAAGGAACCAATGTCTTGTCATAGAAGACAATTTTCATAGTTTTCAAACAAATATAATTTAACACAAACATTTTCACTGATGATTAGGTCATCTAAAGGAACTATTAGAAAATTCCCAAGTCTGAGATTTGTTTCCAACTTATCTATATTATCACTACTATATTGAATCTAAGTTTCAAATGGACAGCAACTGCCTGTTGTAGAGACCTACAAATGTAGAGGACAACATTTTTCGAAAGTCACAACATGTCAACTGGACACAACATAAACTGGGAAAAAGCTAGAATCATCGACACAGACAAATTTTGGAAGACAAGAAAAATTAAAGAATCGTTTTACATTAACACAATAAAACATTCACTAAACAGAGATTCAGGATGAGAGGTGAGTAAACCATGGCTACCATTGGTTGAGGCTACAGGAAGTCTCTCCTCCAATCAGAAACGTGTTTTAACCAACCAATCATAACACGTTCTACACAATCCACTAGAACACTATAAATACCAAACTACACCACACACACACACTGACCTGAAGACAAAAGGCAGATGACTTTCGAAATGTTGTCCTCTACATTTGTAGGTTTCTACAACAGGCAGTTGCTGTCCATTTGAAACTTAGATTCATTATGAATACTCTGCCTAA